CTGTTACAATTATGAAACCTTTTTCGCCAGGTAGAACTCAATCAAGTCTATCGATTAGAGTCAAATTGGTCATTGTGGATTAACGGAGCACTTTGCTACATCACCAAAGACTTTTGAGAACTGATACTTCAACATATGACATGAGAAAATATTCGTTCTAGGTATTGTAACAATGAATAATGTCGCATTTGACGCTAATTGATAGATCTTGGTCGGATCCAATCTGCCACACATGCTTTCGTTACTGATACAACGACTAGAACGAATATTTTCTTCTGACAAAAGTTAATGTACTACGTTTGAGAAGTATTTGATATCGTAGACAAGCACTCTATCAATCAACAATGACCAATTCGACTTTAATCGATAGATCTGATTCAGTTTTATCTATCACAAAGGATTTCGTAATTGATATAGTTCCCAGAACAAATATTTAGTGATGACATATGCTATGAACAACAATGGCAGGAGTTGAAATCTGGTAGAGAGGCACTCTATCAGTTGTATATAATTTGGACATTGTCAAAATTCCAAGGGCGAAATTTCTATCGTCCAAATTCTTTTTTACCTAAAACTTCCCTATAAAAAATTCATCTTGCGCAGCGACACTTTTGGACGATAAACTAAATGTTATCCTGAAAGAATGAATTGTTCTCTCTCATTGTCTTCTAAAAGCAAGAGAAATGATTTCCTTCTAATCAGAACTTTATTGCAAAAACACAAGAATATACGAATACAGGTATATGTGCAACAAAATGATTCTATTACAGATCTTGCTTGCGATACTATGAGAGTCCGAAATCGAACCCAAAAGTTCCGATTTAATTCGAGCTCTGATTAATATTTAGTATTCTCCGCATTGCACTATAAATAGCGTTCGCAAAAAGTTACTGGACAAAAAAGGTTTAAGAGCATGAAACAATTGCTCAATGATTTCTACCCCTCAAGATACATGACTGTCTGTATGCGTCCATACAAAACCGTCTATACAAAATCCTTCTGGTACTTGTTCCCAGTAGATTTAATATAAATCGTTTTTCGATCGAATCGTTCATCTCATATTTTCAGAAGAAATAGGTTGTTAGGCTTTTAAAAACATCTTTTTGTGTATAACTAGTAAAATATTTTCAAGTCTTTATTAAAATATAAGAAAACCTTATTGAAGCGTAAAAAAAGTATACAAATGTCCAAGCTGGTCAAAATAGTATCTAAAGTTTCTATCTGTCTATTTCAAACCACGTTCAGTGATATTTAAGAGTACTTGGTAATCTTTACAGAGGAAAATATTGTATATGTTGTAGTAATGCATTCCTGTTTTGATAAGAAGGTTCAGTTGATATTTGACATGAATTTATTCACTTCTTTTTTTTTATTTTTAATTTGATATTAATAATTTATTTGAAATTAGTGACATTTCATATCTCGACGAGAGACTTTTTCAAATATTAGACTTAAGACAAACGATATACAAGTATGTACAATAAGAACAAATAAACAAAATTCTTTTTCTTTTCTTTCGTAGTAGTCATTCTTTTGATAGTGATACGGAAAACAAGACGATAATAGCAATCACCAGATAGGGATTGAATCCTTGTCCGCATCACTATCAAAAGAATGACTATTACGAAAGAAAAGAAAAAGAATTTTGTTTATTTCTTCTTATTGTATATACTTGTATATCATTTGTCTTAAATCTAACATCTGAAAAAGTGTCTCATCGAGATATTAAACGTCACTAATTTCACATAAATTATTAATATTAAATTGAAACAAATTAAATTAAAAATAAAATAAAAGAAGTGAATTAATTCATGTCAAATATCAACTGAATTTTCCTATCAAAACAAGAATTCAAAAACCTTTACGAAGAAAGAATTTACATCATTGCACACTATTTGGAAAAGTTTTACAAGAAGAAAACGAAAGAAAAAGAACACATACGATTCCTTGCACAATGCAAACAATATAATTTTGTACCAAATGGGTTTCAATTAAAAAGCACCACAAATTTATATAAAATTGAAAAATTATTTAGTCCAACAATGTACAAAATTCATAACAATGTATTAATAAACAAAAATAATTAAGATATATTAATATTGAAATTAATACTCAAATATCAATATTTAATTACTATTTATAAACATCACAACCATCACGACAACATCAGGATTATCTAAGATGGATGAACATATATGATAGAAACGATAAGAATAACTTCATGGTAATCATGATAAGAAAATTGAAATATTAAAAGAAAAAGAATTAACAATAACAACAAAAAAGATAAATTCAAAAGCAACATTTGATACATCAAATGTTATTAATATGTCAAAAATTCAATTAAGTCAAGAACATCTATATATATTAGCTAAATGATTAAAATTTGTTTCAACACGAAGCACAATTGATAGACACTAACAACCAAATTCGAGTTGTGAAAAATCATTATATTCAACATCAGAATTAACTAAAAATGCAGCTATATCAGCAATATCAACATTTATTCAAAAATGGGCAAAACTGAAGAAATCTAATATGAATAAAGAAGAAATCAAATCAATTGAAGATTTTGTTACAGTTCAAGCTGAAAAAGGCGGAAAAATAGAGATAATGGACAAGAACGATTATATTAATAAAATAGAAGAAAAAATGAATGATTCAAATATATATATCTAAACAAGTGAAAAAAGATTCAGCAACAACGATTAAAACAGAAATTAATAAAAAGGTTACCAAGTTATAAAATCAAAATAAAATCACAGAAGCAAATAAATATTATTTAACATCAAATGATGATCTTTCAAAAATTCGTGGCCAACCTAAATTATATAAGAACAACACTCCAATGAGAATAGTCATTTGCTCAAGAGATACAATAACATCACCAATATCTCAATTCATATACAAAATAATTAATGTATTAAGAACAACATTAAATGGAGTAATATATAATTCATCAGATTTCATCAAGAATATTTCTAATATCATACTGGATTAGGACGATTATTTAGCAAGTCTTGATATTGAAAGACTTGCTTACCAACATACCAGTTAATAAAGCAGTCGATATGACATTAAAACAACTTTATGAGTTTAAAAAATTAGAGAATTTATTATTTACCAAAAGTGATATTAAAGATTTATTGACCTTAGCCTTAAAAGCAGCTATTTTCAATGTAACGCTGAATTTTATAAACAAAAAACAGGTTTACCTATGGGTAATACATTATCATTAATATTCGCCGACATTTATATGAACCAGTACCAAAAAGAACATTTACATAAAGTCAATATCCCAAATAAAATATGAAGATACGTTGATGATATATTAATTATTAAAAAGATAAATAAACAACAACTAGATGATTATGTCAATGATTTAAACAAAATACGTGATACGATTAAATTCACGTAAGAGTTCGAACAAAATAATAAATTAAATTATCTTGATATACATTAAAAAAACTTAACATAAATAATGAAACAAACCTTGAAATTAGACAGTATCGAAAAGAATCAGCTGTAGATAGATTGTCGAATTATGAATCAAGCCATGGAAAATTCATCAAAGCAAATGTTATTAAAAACATGACCACAAGAATTCTAGAAATAACACACATGCTCAAGATCAAAAAGAAGATTTGATTAAATTAAAAGAAATGTTATTAAAGTCAAGTTATTCATTAAAAACATTGAAAAATTAATGAAGCAAACATGCGAAGAATTTAAGTCAAATACGAACAATACTAATGATAAAAATAACAAGAACACGTCAAATGAAAATATAAATAATGAAGAAATCAATTTTAGTTTATCAATACCATATGTCCCTGTTATGGAAGTAGTAAAAAGAAGACTCGAAAAGAAACAAAAGATTAAACTATATTTTTCATATCCATACAAACTGCCATCAAAATTTAATTAATCTTTAAAAACTACATCAAAATCAGTTATTTACCAAATCCCTTGTTCATGCAAACAAACTTATGATGCTCAAACAAAGGTTGGCATACATAACCGTAAGAAGCAAAATGCGAATACAATAAATGATAATGAAGATAATAGCAATTGAGAAATGTTTAGACGTTTTCAAGAGAAGAATTTTCAATGTTTGTTTGATACAAATGATGCATTTGTTATTGAAGAAGAAAAAGACTATTGGAAACGACGCACAAAAGAAGCAATCTATTTGATAATATGTGAATCAATCAACATATATGATGAAATTAAAGCAGCATAGACACTGATCTTGCAAAAATAAAAAGAATAAATTCAAAGAAATGTTAAATTATGTCGAGAAAACTATTATAAATACAAAAGAACTAAGAAATAACGAAAAACAAGAGGGTGATAGTGATACGGAAAATGATTCAATCAATATCTAGTGATTACTACTATCGTCTTGTTTTCCATATCACTATCAAAAGAATGACTAACACGAAAGAAAAGAAAAAGAATTTTGTTTATTTGTTCCTATTGTATACACTTGTACATCATTTGTCTTAAATCTAATGTCTGAAGAAATATCTCATAAAGATACGAAACGTCACTAATTTTTGATAAATTATTAATATTCAATTAAAATAAAATAAATAATAAAATAAAAGAAGAGAATAAATTCATGTCAAATATGCAGTAATGCACATAAAAATAAAAACAACTTGTATTCAGAATGGTTCTAATATGTAAGTTTAATGAATTCAATCAATTGTTGGAAATATAATATAGTTGCTATCAATATAATCGAATTACTCATGATAGTTGTCGAACTGGATGTTGAAAGTCGAATATGATCTTCCGCTATCTAAAACAAAATCATTAGAGGTAATGCCATTGTTTTTATGAATGTAATAGCTCACATGCAACATAACAGCCATGCCGCGATCTAGATGTGGTTCTGTATGACAATGAAATAGCCAAACACCAGGATTTGTTGCTCGAAATCGTATTCTCATAAATCTAAATAAAAATAATCTTCCAAATGAATCATTTTCATGCTATAAAGCATACCCTCCTTTGGGCACCTGAACTGTGTCTTTAACGAGGCGCATATTATTTTTTGTGCATGTCGAACCTGCTTTGCACACACACTCAGCATAGTCATTACATTCAACATTTGGGTTGTTATCAAGAAATTCACCTGTTGTTGTATTTAACTGAGCTAAGCCTTGCTCAACGATATGGAAATAAGAACCATGCAAATGCATCGGATGTTGATGAGTATCATAATTGACGAGAAGAAATTCGATAATATCACCAAATTGTGCAAGTATAAAATGATAACATCTTTCACCTGTATTCATGTCTAAACGGCTATTTGAACAGGGCAGTAAATATCGGGCAGTTTGAGCATTATAGAGTATGGGCTCCTGCATTGATGGATATTGCATGCCAATATAATTGATTGATTCAAAACCAGCTCGATCCTCGTTGCCCATAACCATATTTAACGATAGTGTTCGTTTGACATTGACATTAATCGTTTCATTGAGCAAATCCAGGTCAAGATAATCTGTATGTGTGCTCATGTTTTGTGGTGTCAGACAAATGAAAGATGGCTCGCTCCCATATTGAGAAAACGGGCAGTTTAGAATTCGACACTGTTCGAGTACAGTACAATTTTTTTGGCTCGTTGTTGGCATTCTACTCTCATGAGTGTATTGCAAAATGGCTCGTGCATACCATCTTGGATTGTTGTTTTTGTCCATGGTGTCTACACGAATCCAATAATTGACAGAATTCATTATTTTCCTATTAATAAGCACATCGAATCGTTCTCCAAGTCCGATGATCAACTGATCAACAATCAATGGCTCAGTGAATGGAACACCATCCGAAGCGATCACTTGTAATGGATGTTCATCAATGGAAAATTTAAGTGAAAAAACACTGCCACCATTAATAAGACGAAGGCGATAAGTTGAATAATTCGAGTCACTAATGCTCAGAATCTCTAATGGCGTTGTGCTCGAATTATCATTTGTTGCTCGGGGGTCAAAGTATTGTCCACGGCCATTGATCAAGATAGAAGTAACCAAGGCTTCAGCTGCTCTTGATCCATCGACAGATTCAAAACAGTCGATTGTATCTGATTGTGTCAATGATTCAAGACTGTTTGGATAAAACTGACCACTTTCAACAAGTAAAAGATGTTGTTGACTAGTATAAAAATGTTGCCAATCATTTAGAACGAGTACGAATTCACCATATGTGGATATTGTTTTAGGATGAACGATAAAACCACCTAACAAGCCCATAGCTGTTTGTGAACTGACGTGTGAATGATACCAGAAAGTGCCTTCGTCAACAGCAATAAATTCATGCAAAAAACTAGAACCAGGCAAGATCGATAGTTGTGTTACTCGACCGACACCGTCACTCGTTGGTGTTCCCACTTGTCGAATGCCGTGAAAATGAACACTGAGTGATTCCGTTTGAAAATCATTGTATATACGTACGCGTATTGTTTGGTTTTGATAAACGTGCAGGGCAGGGCCTGGTAGGGAATTATTAAAGACGTAAACCTACACAAGATAGAAAGTAATCTCAGATCGAGAACGAAAGACAGATCATGTGCTACATACAAGTTTTGGATATCCATCTGCCGTTATAATATCTGTCATGATAAATGTTTGGTTTGGATTTTCGTAATTGTACAATGTATTATTATTGGTGGCAACAACGCGAAACAAATTTTTATAAAACATTGTCATGGCTGCAATGGCTCGTAATTCAAAGGCACAAATTGACATGGATACTGTACACGCGTCATTGTGTTGATACGGGTAGAATGGATTCAGTGCATGTATTAGTTGACAGATTAACATAAGAAAAAGGATTATAAACCACAGGTTGCTCATGATGATGAACTAAAAAAAAATAACAAGTAACCAACTAGTGAATTTCGCACACTATTGCGTTTGACTCGTATTAAAAAAGTGAGTCCAGGTGCGCAATATCCTTAGTCATACATACATGTGTGCACATTACTTTCTGTTCTATCGCAAAGCATTTTCTCCATTTTTTTTCTTATTATTATTTGTTAGCTCTAGCCTCGTATAGTATGTAATCAAAATTACATGAATCATTCACATCTGAATATGAGAAAGAAAAGGTAATTATACAGCCAATGGAACAGATTTGTCATGGTTCTTCGTTTTGTGTGAAGGTATACGCCGATTTCGTTTGTTCTCTCAACTTTCATTTCCGAAATACATTGAGTAAAGAGAATTTTGAAATATCTGTTTCCTGGAGCTTCCTGTGTGTGGAGAATAAAAAGCACACGTACAATGTTTCTGCTTAATAAATTGTAATGTTTATTGACAATTGTACAGATGCCGCAGTACGCTGATGTCTTGAGGTAGAGAATCGACAGGTAATGCTTTACAGCAACTGACTAGAATTCATTTCTAAGATCACTAGATTCACTAGATCGAAGTCAAAGACAAAGATGAATAAAAATATCAGCGCACTTTTCTTAAAATCATGAAAATATTTCACTATAAGAAAACACACTACTGAGGAACGAAGACATACATATTTATTAATTTAAGAGAGACTTCAGCAGAATGACTGTTCTTTCAAGAGTGTACCAAAATTGCATAAACTTTATCGAGATGAAATCAAATTTTCAGAGCTGGTACGGTTTGTCTCCATAAGAATAGCTATGGGTTCGGAAAAATTTGAAAATCATGCAAAGGAGTTCAAGCATGGTGAAAAATTTAAGCAATTAAAATTAAATTACGAAGAAGACAATCAAGAATAATCGGGGTATTAGATTTTTTCAATCAATTTGAATCGGATTATCCTACAAATGCATGAGAGCGTTCCATAGGAAAAATGAGATTTGTAAACCAGGAATCAAAAATAATCCTGAGTTTCTTAGGTATATATTTCATTGGGAAGGGACGGTGACAGGTTCAGGGAGTGGTTCGCATACTAGAGTTGTTTCCGTCGGATTTACAGCCTTAAACAATGTTTGTCAAGGCGCTTTCTGTTTACATGCAAAGTTTAGACAAAGCTGATTATCGATTATGTATTAAACTAATAAATTTTTATTTGACATAGGATAATGAAATCTTACGTTAGTAACATAGTATTTTATAATTACATCGAGCTTCAAGAGTTTTCAATTTGTGTAAGCATGTAAATTATTATCCATTTCAAAATATAATGCAGTTGATTGCTCATTGAATAACACGAGAACAGAATAAATTAGAGATTTGCGATTTTAACTGTTAGCAAGGGGACACTGGGGGCATACTTGTCAAAGTAAAACTCATTGGGTTGTCTAATGAACAACTGGTCAGTCAATGTCCGAACTTTTCTTTGATATCGGTCTCTAACATTTTTCTGTCAGTTTACGTGCACAGAAATTTTTCTATCCTTCTTCATAGAGCAAAGGAAGAATTATCTAATTAGTATAAAATGATTGATATTCAAGTACCAACAAGCCTTCTTCTGAGCTACAGAAGTCACTCTAGAACCTTATCAATAATCATATTTTCCGTCATTTTCCGATGTTCTTCACCATGTGTTAGCTCTGAGCTTTCTTTCAATTAGGAATTCAACTTAGATTTATGTTGCAGTACTGTAAAATGCATCCGGCAGGCTATTCAACAATTTTGAAAGTCATCTATGTCAATAGATTAGTGACTCTTTTAGAATGTATGCAGTGCAATCAATGCCTTTCATCCCAGTAGTTTCATGTGACCCGCGACCGAACTTGTTCTATCGAAATCGTCAGATTTTGTTCAACTCAAGATATGTTGTAGAGGAAATAGTCTTTGTAATTTTGGTGCAATCTACTTTTAAAAATATCGAATCCTCGATCTTCTCTAATTTTTTTCCCAAGTGCTGTGAAAGTACATGCCCAAAAATAGAGGATCTCTGGACTGAATATCTCAAAAATGGCTTGATTGATTGAGCTGAAATTTTTCCTGAAGTTAGAGTTTATAGAGAAGTATCTTCAATGAAAATTTCAGCATATCACATTCTTCTGGTCAGCAGAACTCTCTTAAAAATGAATTTTCGATGAAAATAGTAGTTTTCAGGTAAGGTTTTCTCCCGACCAATAGGATAGCTTTAGGGTTGAGTTAAAAAATTTGAAACACATATCTAAAATATACAACTTCGTGATGATATCAGACTGGAGTGTCTGGAAACTATCTATAACAGAAGTGATCTTGAACAGCCCAAAGCTGAATATATACATTTCTTCACCAGGATTCCATCATTCGCGTTGGCATATTGTCTACCATCAAATCTTGCTTATTTTTATGGACAACACGATAGTCATAATCTGCCACTTGAAGACCTAAGTCCAAGTGAAGAAAGACTAAGGAAAATACGAGTATTTGCTTCGATACCTTGCGTTCAATCGCATAGAGTCATAATGGTGACAAAAGAGTCAATCCACGTAAGGCATACTGATTATGCTGAATCGAAAGCCTTACATTTTATTGAATTTAAAATGCATGGTGGAAACAAGTGTGTTATGAATTTTAAGGCAATTCGTTGTGAAAACAATTGAAGCTGCGATTCTTTACGAACACCCACAAATGCGCGACCCCAAAGTAGCGGATTCGTGTACTGAATATCTGGAGGATGGGTTTCCTGCTTGAACTATAATTTTTTCGAATACAAAATAACTATGAGTTATACTCAAAATAAAGTTTTTAGCTGAATTGGTTGAGTCCTTTGTATTCTTTGGTTTTAGTTTCAACAGGAAAAGTTGATATTACAGCAAATTTGAGACATCATATCTCAGAAATTACAAGCAACAGAAGTCCAAAATTCTTAGGATATCTAGACTCATGCATTTCTGGTTTTAATAAAAGCTTAAGCTTCACTGGATATCGCATTACCATTGCAGAACTTAAGCAAAGCTCGGTTTTGCCAGCAGTCTTGGTTTTCAGTTCAGCTCATCTATGAGCTAATCGAGTTGTCTGAGGATTGCTATTCATAACTTCAAGATCCACTCTTTGATTTAGAGCGTGACATGAAAATCAGCTTGGCATGCCAAGGTACGTTCGAGAAAAGGAAGCGTACGTGGAAATCCGAAACAAGGTGTTAATCGGGTTGATACTCCTACACTTCAGATGGAAGTCTTTGAGTAAATATTGCTTTGATCTTTTGTATTTGCGTAACTATGCATGGAAGCACTAAGATTATCGTCATTGATCGTTATCCCAACCTGAATCTCTTGAAAACTCAGCATATCGTTCAAGGACTCTGGAAACGTCTGCAGGGTATGAGTATGGGTGTGGGTCGAAGAAAAATGTCGATCCACACATCTACATCCACATCCACATTAACGCAATACCAACATTCAAGTGCGTTCGCTGAAACTTTGATACTCACGCGTTATTGTATCCAATCCTCCACGATGCGCATCAATATGCCTACGATCATCGTATGAATCTTCATACATTTCCATAAAATGAGTGTTTTTGATTCATATCTATTCATGAAATCATATAATCTTCAACTCCTTGATCAGCGCATAAGCCAAGCGAAATCCTCGTGTATTCCCTAAAACCACACACCTAAACTTACTAAACCTAGCTTCGGCAACAGTGTAAATTCAACGCACGAGGAAAATTCAACGTAAAATTTTGAGCCTATTAAACAAGAGCAGACAACTATAGAAATATAATTACTCATGTAATTGGATTACAAAATATTAATTAGTGGTCTTAAGTTGATCCAATTAATTATCATAAATGTTAAAAAGAATGTATTCTTGACTGGCATAATTCATAACAGAACACTTTTCTCTGTGAAGACATTTATTCTCCAATATGACAATCATATCTAATAATGGTACAACAAAACAAAAACCACGCATAGATCTTAATGGATATTCATATATAATGGACCGATCAACAAGTGAAAAGACTTGCTGGTGTTGTATCAAGTCTCATTCACATTTTTGTCATTCTCGTCTTCATACATGTATTATTACATACAATGTCATCAAATCACCAACACCGCATACATGCTCAATTGATGGTACAACACGTGGACTTCGAAAATTCGACGAACAAATCACTTTTCGTTCTCTTAATACTCAAGAAACACCACACATTATAATCACACATTGTTATAAAGGTAAAATTGCTCGATTTTCAACAGTAACTTTTGATAACATATAAATCGGAATTGTTATTTTTAGGCTTGTCTGATCCAGCATTAGCTCGTTTACCAACACGTGATAATATTAAACGAAGAATAAAAAAATTACGTCAAGAAAAAGATATTATTCAAGCACCTAATGATCTAAATTTTCCAGTCGTTCCAGTTCAATTGACGAAAACTTTTCGTCAAAATCAATTTTTACGTTGTGACACAGGATCTGGTATGTCACTGACTATATTTACTTATATTGATATAAGTATTTCTTTTGTGAACTGTTGCAGGCGAAGACAGAATTTTAATATTTTTTTACTGATGAGCAAATCAACATTCTACAAAAAACACAAGATTTTTTAATGGATGGAACATTTAAAGTTGTTCCAGAGATATTCTATCAACTTTATATTATTTATTCGGTGTATCGTAATCATGTAATACCCGTGATTTATGCATTATTACGTCGAAAAGGTGCTGAAACATACAAGTGTTTAATTACTGAAATTCTCAAGTTTACACCATGTTGGCTTCTACAAACATTGATGTTAGATTTCGAACAAGCTTGTGTTAAAGTTTATCAAACAAGCTTTTCAACTGTTCTATTAGATTGTCTCCGACGAAACAATATCAGACGAAAACCTCTATTCGATATTGATTTTTGGAATATGTACCATGGAACTACTCAAGCTTCTATGAGAACAAACAATGCCACAGAAGCTTATCATCGTCGAATTGGTTCAGTATTTCAATGTGCACATCCAACATGATGGGTATTTTTACAAAAAATTAATTGACGAAGAAACTGCAGTCCATGCTAATATAGTACAAATTAAAGCTGGGTAATCACAAAAGAAGACTAAAAAATCAACGTTTTGAAGAACGTTTATTAAATATTATCTCTAGTCAGTACACAGATATTCTGACTCACATCGATTCAATCGCTTTCAATATTTCATTGTAATTCTTTCTGTGTTTCAATTGTATATTGTTATTTAACTATGTCTAAATATATGTCTTCTAAATATTCAATAAATATTATTTTTACGCTGAATTTTCCTCGTGCCGAACATTCCCGTGCTGAAAATTCCGTGCCCAAAGTTCACCAATCCGGCGTTTTTTTTTCTTATCATCTTTTGTTTTGGAAGATAAAATTCTATTTTTTCATAGAGACAAATCATGCGCACCATTTCAAACATACTAATTAAGGAATGAACATTGATGCCCATCAGTTCATATTTGATCCATCCTTGTCATTATTTGACATGTATAAGATCAACTGTTTTATTTGGAAACCTCATTTGTTGTGTTGGACAGGGCACAAAGGCGAATTGCAGTGTGTTGTACAAGAATTGGTTGCTTTTTCCATGCTTTACTGCAGTAATTAGCATTTTTGGCTAGGCTAGAATGTTTTGTTTGGAGAAGTGACAGGAAAATGAATAGAGCACATTGCATTGCTCTTCAAAAGGAGTTGATCTACATTGGAAAGTGGTCTGACATGAATTCTTCCAAGAAATACTCGAATCTTGGTCTAAGATATCCTACGTAAATTCCCATCATGTTACACTAAAATAATCATAAATTTCAAGAAATTGTTAAATTGAAATAGACCGGGTGGTCCTTTGTAGGATACATAGATCATCACCCAAATTTCTTGAAATAGAATAAAAATAGTATACATTTTGGCTATCACTATTTTTCGCTTGAGCATAAAAGAAATTAACTTGTTGACATTTTCCAAGATTTTTATGTTTGATTTTCTTCAAATTTGGCAAAACTCATAGAAATAATCTCAATAATTGTGAAAGTAATGTGTGTTTTCAACTTGCAAACTATGACTTCTTTTAATCTACTGCTCAGATCCCTATTGCGTGTTCGTTGCTTATTTAAAGTGAAAATAAAGTCGCATCAGACTTTTCACAGGAAGTCTCTCATGATCATCGTCTGTATCCTTGATTAAGACAGGATCATCCTTCCAGTATAAAAATTGATTCTTATTATAAGGTTCTTTCTACATTGATGGTTTCCTTCTCTTTCGCTTTTCACTGGAGTACTTCATTTTAAGAAAGTGTTCGTTTGTATATTTCTTTTAATCTATATCAATAATATGAAAACATACTTCTGGAGAAATATATAGATAAATGCGGATATGTGGAGAATACAAACATATCAACATTCACATCATTAAGTACAGGTTTCGATCTTGCAGTCTTCCATTTTTTAGAAATTATCAGTAAGAACTTTCGAATGTGGGTGTGAATGAGCAGAAAACTCTTCACCCAATCCCATGTTCATCCTTTCAAGACGATAGCTTTTACTATAGATAAGAAACTATAACAACAGTATAATAGATTACTTCATCAGTTTTGCGATTGCTTGCATGATAAATTATGATACAGCAATGTTGGAGTAAATACTGATTTCAAAATCTTTTTATGAAACAAAAGCCAAAAGAAAACATGTTTCCTTCACGAACATTATTTTCATTTCTGTGCACGTCGATGAAAGAAAGACAAGGGTTGATAACAAAAAAAAAGGCAGCTAAATAATTCGATGATTTAGGAAATGTAATTTTTCAAAATAACCTAAAATCTAAGCAAGGGATGCTCGTAATTTTGAATGCCATCAAATTTTTTTTTATCAATTGAATTAAAGTAGAAAATTGTGCTACAGAACTGGTCGATCCAATAAAACGTATAGAATATATTTAGGATATATTAAGAGAAAAATGATGAGAGTAGTAATAAAATAACATTGAAAAGTTGACCAACAACACTAAAACGAATTAAGAGAGTAGTCAAATACAGAAACATTAATATATCAATATGTGTTCATTTTTATGCCAAAAAATTATTTGGATTTAAAACTATTAACTTAAATGATTTGAAAATTGATAAAATAGTGTATAATAATGTTATGACGATTTTTCATCTGTAATAAAATCTCTCGACTTGAAACTTTATAGTTATTTAGCAGTAAGCAGATTCAATAATTTTCTAAAACTGCAAAACCTTTGCTTTTGTTGAATATAAGAACGATTGATTTTAAAGTCGTTTCAAAGCTTCTGGGACAGCCTTTATATATGCTTGTGAAAGAAATAGTACATTGTCTGTCTTTTTATTCGATATAAGCAATTTGGTTCATTCAAATTTAATAAATTTGTTGTTTCAATTATTATCCCATCTATTTTTAGCTTTGAATAGCAAAGAAAGACTAAACAGAATCTCCACATCCAAAACTATGCACGAAGTCCTACATGCAAAACAGAACAGACTTTATACATTTCAATAATATAATCAAATAATTGATGTCTTGAACAAAAAAGGATAAAAAGAAACTGATAATTTTGATTCATTTCTTTTATTAGTTTCTGCTTAAACTGATTTATTTGTTTACAATGATTTTGTTTTTATTTGCAACTGATTAATGTCATGAACAATCATTAACTGAACTGATCAAAATGATTATCTTGAAAGTTTCTTTGTAGACAACGGCTATTTTTTTCTTTTATTAGTCTTTCTTATTTTTGCTCTTATGTTGTTTTATACAAGAAAAAAAACAAAAAAATTGTGATGGATTAAATAAATGTTAAAATTGATCATAATACCAATTTTTAATTGTTTAATTCTTGTATGCACGACTAGCTCGACGACCACGAGCTTTTTCAAATTTACGACCTTTTGATCGAACCTTTGGTCTTGTTGTGCTATGACGAGCACCTGGTGGTCGTCCTGAAAATTCATAAAGAAAAACCAATGATTATTCACAGAAAACAAAAATAATGTTTAAGTTAGCATACCAAAGAATCGATTAGCTTTACGTGCTTTTCGTGGACCTTGTAATAAAACACTATTTTTACCCTTTGGTGTACGAAGTGCTAATTGATCAAATGTTAAAATTTCACCACCAGCAGCAAGAATTCTTGCACGAACACCTTCAGTTAAATGTAAAGCACAAACAGTCATTTTTGGTACTTCATAAAGTCGTACATCGTCAGTAATTGCACCAACAACAACAGCTGTTTTATTTTCACGACCTTTTAAAATACAAAACGAAACATATATATATATGCGATCTGCAGCGAAATTACAAACCTTTCTTTTTCATATGACGAACAAGACGTGATAGTGAAAGTGGTGGTCGGTTTGTATTCGACATAAATAAACGTTTCAAAATAATTTTATTAAATTTTGAACCTGTACGACGTGCCAAAAAACGATAAAGTTTAACAAGTAAGAGCAAATATAGATTTCTTGAACGTGGTGCTCGTCGTACAGCCTTACGATCAAAACGATGGTCAAGATCGACACCCATTCTAATGATCGAATCTGTTGAGAATGAACAATAATCTACAAGATAAACACGAGAAAAAATAATAATAATAATAAATTTTCAAAACTATTATCAAAAAATGAAAGATTTTTTTGCGTTGGAGAAAATCTATGAATGTGGACAAAATGAAGAGAAGGAAAAACAAATGAAGTCGATTTTAATTTGTAGTTGATTCGTCAAGACTTGTAAAGGTATTATTTTCATTGGTTGAATTAGCCGAACAAAAACTAGTTAATGATTGATCAGATGGTGAACATGGATCAGGAAGAATTGTCGTATCATCTTCAAATTCTTCATTGACATCTTTTGATAAATCATGAAATGAATTTTCAAGATTATTATCATCAATTATAATTGTTGACGTTTCGGAATTTTTTTGGGGAGTTGAAAAATCTGTTACTGTAGTAACATGATCATCATCATTGAATTCATCATTAACAGATAATACTGATGATTCAAACTGAATATGTCGTATTGTATCCATTACTTGACGAAGACGTTTTATTTGATTATTTATCATATTTGACGCATATTGAGGACGAAGTATTGACTTAGCTAACATTTGTTTATCCTAAGAGAAAAAAGTTAAATTATATTAATTTGTTTTTATTAAGGTATCAATAATTTGAAATTTCTTTTTGGCATAGTTAAACGACGTTCTTATGGTGAAGCTTAGGAAAAATCAGATCCAAAAAATACACCCAAAGCATTAAATCTCAATATTTATTCAGAAGTTTTTTGTTTGATTTTATTCGTTATATATAGCTAGGATAAAACCTAATTAAAATAGTATACTCAATACTTAAAACTAGTTTTCGTTAAATATCGATCCGTACACCTCCCTCAATGTTACCTTCAAATGCTCTGACTTATTCTTCCCCTCGTAAGGAAAATCCTGCGACCGATGAATTTCTATTGAGACAAGAGTTCAGGCGCTTAGCTTATTTCTGTCGAGATATTGCATTATTACGGTATTTTTTAAATGATACAAATCTAGTGGCCATTCATATCCTAAGGTACAACTATAGTAAAAGCGTGTCTTTTACATGGCTTATAAATAACGGTAGATTTTATGTTTTTATTGCAGGATATAAGTAAATCAAAAGACCTGAAGCATTTACAAAGGTTCTGTCTCAATGTAAAGTTTCGAGTCAAAACTTAAAAGTCATTTTTTTGTGTTCCTGGATAGATCATGGCGTTTCATTTAAAAAAAATAAGATAAAAGTGCTTTTTCCTACTCGACAAATATTGAACTTTGAGGGTTATGGCATATTTCGACTTTTTTTTTTTGAAAACTCAATTTTGTTTAGTTTCTCTACAAGAACATCGTTTGAATATAGGATAAAAATAAGTTAAATTTCGAATTTTTGGCACCTTAAACAAAAATCAATATATGATGGAATACATACATGATCGAACAATTCGAAATAAACAGCAC